TTTTTTCTTCGGCGTATTGCAAATTATTTTGTGCATATTTAAAATAACAGTGAATAAGTGCGCATCAGAATGTCGAGCGAATGCGTAGACTTTTCAGTGGTTTTAAAGTCACATAGAGGTAAGTGTGCAAATACAAAAGAAGTTCGCCAGGGGATCTTCCGTGCGAAGAACACTAAAATTTCGGATGAATACAAAACTTTTGGTCTCAAAGCTTTAGCTTATAATTACGCATACAACTAGGGAGCAGTGTATTTTGAAAATCAATCTGAGGTCGCTCACACTGACTAGTTCAGTAAGAAAATCCTCAAAATTGTATTTTTTAGCTGATTTTGAGTCCTAGGTCATAAGCCAGATATTGTGCATTTGTAGGTCGATTCCGAGGCTGAAGATGAATTAAACTTATAAAATTTCAAGTTAGCGATTTCTTTAATTTTTACGAGTTATAAAAATAGCTTTTTTTGTGCTAGACCCGAGGCATAATTAGGACGATAATCTGCAATTCAATTTAGATTTTTGACTTCTGCAGTATGGGCGTCTTTGTATCTAAGTTCTGGCGATTCACAGAGTAAATTACCTGGAGACACAAGCACAACAAATGCACATACTGAAATTGCCTACATGCACATTTGCATAAAGTGCATTAAGACAGATCTTTTAAGGTGCGTTTTAAAACTTACTTCATCCGATTTCCCATACTTCTCATTGCCATTTCTGGGTACGGTTTCCGGCAATGATCACGATAAACCGGCCATCGTTTCTGCATGATAACCCAATTCCGTCCCAATAAATGAGCTGTGTAAGCGAATAGTACTGATATTGTTATCATGAAAACAATACCCAAGACTAATCCTGCAAAAAAAACTCGCTCCAAATCCGGAATTATTAACACATAGGCTTAATTTCAAAAATTTATTGCCAAGATTGTTTTAATGATATTATAAGACGGACGATCTACTTTCCATGAAACTATGTCTAAAGTATACTTGAAAGTACGAAACAAGATTGCACAGTACAGATGCGTTGCAATGCCTTGGGTTAGTTAGGGAAGAGTTGTCGTCTAGGTAGAGATAGATCTTGGTTCTGGATTACTTGAAGGGGTGAGGTAGGGGTTAATGAAATAAAATACTTTATTAAAGAGAAAGTGTGAGATTCAGCATTTTTCTTTTTCCGAAAGCCAAAATGCCAACGACAGCTTTTTTTTTTGCGCAGGGAACTCTGTGTGAGCTTTATCAATTCATCAGTCGCGATGCTTAGCCGAGTTCACTCACCAGTTTGAAGAAAAGCGACTGGCATGGCCACAACTCCTCCGCCGACCATATCAGCCACAATGAAAAAGGCTGTCACCACCCAACCCAATCCTCGTCCCGATGCAGCTTTTGTCGACATTGCTGTACCTGTCCTGAACACGAAGCCTGAAAAATGGCGTGCATTTACAAAGGTAACGGGACTTTTATATAACGAGCCGATTTGTGCATGGAAAGAGAAGGAGGCGCAAAGCCAAAGTGCAGATCGTTTAATGACAATTATAGAATTCCGAGAACAAGTTTAACTGACGATCGGAGAGGGGTAACAGATCGATGCGCGCTGTGAGTGAGTGAAAAATATTCACCGAACTCGCTATTCAATTCTTAATTTGGTGCGATCAGCACATGGGGACAAATTGCGGCCGATTGCTCACATCTGTGGTGTGTTTGGATACCAGGAATACCGAGAGCGCCTTGGCAATCGATGTGGACATCAGATGTCAGTGATGTTACGGGAAAACTCTCACACGCC